CCCGGCAGCCCATGATCACTCGCGCCCCCAAGCGCAGCAGCTCGGCGGCTGTGGCGCGGCCCAGGCCGCTGTTCGCACCCGTGATCAGCACTGTCTTCCCGTGCATGAGGCCGGAGTCCCCGCCTTGGTGCAGCCGCTTGACGCTGGGCCCCACGAACCTCCGGGCCGCCAGCCACAGGGCCCCACCCAGTGCGGCCAGTAACGCTGCCACCGTAGCCACTGCCATGGCCGCCCGGGCTCAGGGCCCACCTGCACCTGCGCGGGACTTCCGGGGTCGCCGCGCGCCCGGGTCTGAGCTCGCCCCCTGTACGCAAAGAACGCTGGGGCGCGGCCTGTCGTCCCCTGACGGCGGCGTGGGGCGTGCTGGGACTTGTAGTACCCCTTCCGAGGGCACCTGATTGGTTAGTAGAGGACAGCGTTCTGTGTGGCTCCTCGGTGGAGCCGGCTCCCAGCCTGAGAGAAGGGTGAGCACGGCCCCGGGTTTTCAGGCTCCTGAGGTCCCTACCCATGGAAATCCCCGAGTGGTGGTGGCCTTCCCTGTGGAAATGCCTAATGAGTACTTTGAATTTACAAGTCTCTTTATAGGCTGCTTTACAAATCCCACACTTGGGGGCTGGCTTAGTGTGTTTTCCGTTAAGGGAGCCTGGGACTTGTTAACCCTCAGTTCAGTTTACCTTCATCCTCTGGAGAATGGTCCCTGCCGAACGAAAGTCTAAGGAGAGGCTCTTTTTTCCCACAGCTGACGCTAAGAACTTAGCGACATGAATCAGAAATAGAATGGACCAGTGGTTCTCAGACTTTAGCGTTGCATTGGAATCAACTGCAGGACCTGTAAAAACAGAAATTCCAGGGCCCAGTTTCAAATTCATTAGAGTCCAAAATGGAACCTGAGAATGTACATTTCTAACAAGTTCCCAGGTGATTCTGATGCAGGTGATCTGGGGACCACGGTTTGAGAACGTTAGACCATTGTGGCCTTGATCCATATATAAAAAGGTATTCTCAAATGGTCTTATTTGACAGTGGTAGAGATACACTGGGAAAAGCGTGGACTTACTGTATACATAGACTTCTGAGCAGGCTCAGACTTCTGAGAATCCCCATTCCCTCCCGGAGAATATTAAATGTAACAAGGAAGGGAAAGTGCTTTTTACACTGTAAAATGCTTCAGAAATGTCAGGGGTTATTGCCACAGGGATCCATCTTCAAGCTGCAAACTTCAAACTTTAGACCAAGCTACTCTTTTTTTTTTTTCGGTACGTGGGTCTCTCACTCTTGTGGCCTCTCCTGTTGCGGAGCACAGGCTCCAGACGCGCAGGCTCAACGGCCACGGCTCACGGGCCCAGCCGCTCCGCGGCATAGTGGGATCCTCCCGGACCGGGGCACGAACCCGCGTACCCTGCATCGGCAGGCGGACTCTCAACCACTGCGCCGCCAGGGGAGTCCAGACCAAGCTACTCTTAAGTCGTCATACGTTCATCTACTCACCCATCCAATACACGCCAGGCCTTGTGCCCTGCGAGAGTCACGAAGAAATAGGGCACCATTTCTGCCCTCAGGATGCTTACTGTCTGGTCCAGAGACCCCTCCTGCCCCAGCCCCCATTCTAGAATCTTCAGGACAATAGAAGAGACACACAACTTCTGTAGGTTGAAATAAACTCCCTAGATGATTTTGATAAACTCTCTTCCACTCCCTTGTATTTGGGAAGGATGTGACATGCAACAAAAAGGCATAGTACAAACAGCCAAGGGGTCGAATGCCGGAAGAGGGTTTCTTATGAGTGCTGAGAATGGAGCTCAGAGGTGGGAGGAGCACTCTCACTGAGGATTAGACAAGGCACCAGGAACAGAAATCATGAGGGGGGGGGCCTTTATTCTATCCTATCTGTAACTTGAAGCTGCCTCTCACACTCACTGAGCCGGGAGCACGTTTCCTCTCTTCCTTTCTCTCCGTCCACATCTTACCTGTCTGGCAAAGCCCACCTCCATTCTCTACATTTCCTGACCACTTCCAGCCCATAGAGATTTCTGCTTCAGCCTTGTGTGTGACCCTCACTTGGCACTGAGGACAACCAGCCCTCTCGTGTTGGCTGTTTGAGCTTGCACATTTGACTTCTTCTAAGGGATTGTTAAAGGATGGGATTATGTCTGAGTCTCTCTTGTGGCCTTTATCTTGGGGAATGCGTAGAAAACAGTAGGTACTCAGTAAGTGTCATGACTGATATATTTTGGACTGCCTTACATCAAATTAGGAAGCAGATCAAAAGATGTGTGTCAGCAGTGGCATGCTTTAACTAGAACCCGGGTGGAATATGTATATGTGGGTGGGGTAGAGATGGAGATGGGATGAGAAGGAGCAAGACAGGGTGTGAGGAAGGGAAGATAGACAGCATATAGCTTTTTCTTTCTTTTTTCAGCATATAGCTTTTGAAGTGAGATCTAAATTTGAATCTTAGTCCTACCATTTATTACCTGCACATCCTTGGACAAGCTACTTAATCTTTTTGAATTTTAGGTTCTTCGTTGATTAAAAAAAAGGAAGGTAATAATATTGATATTATGTCACAAAAGTTTGGTTTGATGAGAAAATGAGGTAACATCTGAAAATAACCAGCTTGTTTTTCCTAATGTAGTAGATTATGGTGAATAACCAATGTTTTTTTTGAAAACAAAACAAAAATCACAACAGAATGACAACAATGAAGGCTAGGATACTACACTTACTTCATGTCACATTTTGAAGTGGTAGCCAAGGCTTTTTTCCCCCATAAAAACATTGGACCTACCTGCTGGGCCCAAAGCCAGAGACTTGAAATATGAAGCCCTGTAGTCCATAGGCAATGAACCCAGGAAATAAGCTTCAAAGAACCCTTCCAGGAGGTTCTGTCTGGAGCTCATCTTAGATGAAAGTAACCTGTATGAATAACTGATTTATTTCTGAATAAGCAATGTCAAAATTGGAATACTCGGGCTTCCCTGGTGGCGCAGTGGTTGAGAGTCCACCTGCCGATGCAGGGGACACGGGTTCGTGCCCCGGTCCGGGAAGATCCCACATGCCGCGGAGCGGCTGGGCCCGTGAGCCATGGCCGCTGAGCCTGCGCGTCCGGAGCCTGTGCTCCGCAACGGGAGAGGCCACAACAGTGAGAGGCCCACGTACCACAAAAAAAAAAAAAAAAAAAAAAAAAAATTGGAATACTCATGCAGGTAGAGTGGTATTTTCATTTTTGCATTGATTAAAAGGCTGTTCACAGAGGCAACAGACTAAAAAGCTCCAGTTTTCAAGAGTGTACTTAACCCTTCTCTTTCCACTTGTGAAGACCCACTATTCTATAATGATGATGGGTAATGATTCATTCTAGCTACCAACATCCGTAAATGAGCAATGCTTTGTAAAACTAAGTAGGCTTCTGACATAGTCCTTTAAGCATTCAAGGATTCAAGTTCTAAAATTATTCTAGAGAGTCATCATTACGACTTACACAGAGAGGTAGTTACAATGTCATCAACAGCATTGACAGCTCCAAGAAAAGTTGCTTGAAGGTAACTTGAGAGTTCAAAATGTTTTAAAAAACTCAAGAGAAAACCTTTCCAAATGAGCAAAGTTCTGAGGTCTAATCTACTGAAATACCTAGTTGCCCTAGAGATCCACAAGATGTGGCTTCCGTAATATCAGACTCACTGCTTTATTTCCCCTTCCAATCCCTAATTGTTCTCTTTTTGATTAATTCCATAAGGTACATGAGGTGTGATGGTGCCAAATTTCTGTGCCCCTTCAATGTGGAACATGTGGTCATCAAAGAAGATGTGGGGCCTTATCTTCACCAAGATGGGACCTTTGGGGACTCCAGCAAGGAAAAGAGCTTCGTCTATCTCTAGAACCCAGCAGTGAAGGGTTTTCAGCACGCGGGCGCCTGAACTGGCTGCACTCCTAGCTGTAACCAGGTAGGTCCTGATAGGGCAACATAACCGTTCATCTTTGGCATAAAACTTCTTTTGCAGTCTGCCTAAATCTTCCAGAAAGCCTTTCAAGGGACCCTGTAAAAGGAACATATGTCACAGCTGTCATCCAGTGAGCCAAAGGAAGTGAACGCTAAAAAAGCAGATGTTTATAAGAACTTATAATACTGCATGAAACATGCAGTATAGACCAGTGATACAATGCTGAAACTCCTTGCATTTATGTGATTATATTTCCCTGTATGGAACCATCCTTGCATTCCTAGAGTAAAACATAGGATGGCCATATAATTTATTATCTAAACACAGATATTTTAAGAGTGAAAGAAGCTTCCATAAAAAGTTGAACCAGGGCAACAGACGTAAACTATCCATGGCAAAAGGGGATACTCTGAAAGCTCAGTTAATCAGCAAAAGCAGTACTCTTTTGATTTACTTTTTGTGAATTGCACATTTTAACATTATAAAGTGTACTTTTTTTTATCTTGTTCAATTCCTTCTTGGCTTGAATCCAGTTTTCTCTATATTTATAATTACTTTATATATCATCACACTTTTATCTTCAACCTTTCTGAACACTTACTTTTAGCTGTACCTCTAGTACAGAACATAGAATTGGATTTTGCTAAGTGATACAATCTGAAAGTCTTAATTTTTAAAACAAAAGCTGAGTTTTAGGCCATTTCTATTTATCGATATCACAAATATATGTGATAATCGTTCTGTGTTACAATTTGTATTTCATTTTTCACGTTTAAAGATTTCAAAAGATTGTTCACTGAGTGTCTTTTTTATTTGAACATGTGTGTATGTGTGTTTCTTCTAACATTTAGGAAGGTTTGTATTATTTCCTTCTATTGGTTACCTTTATAACTTTTTATAGTACCCTCAGACCTCTATTTTTTTAAAATCCAGGATCTATTATTTTTTATAATGAAAAATAATGAAATTAGGGTACTTCTTAACCTTTCTCTTATCCTCTATTTTTTTTCAATCATTTGATTTTAACTGTTTCATCTTTCTCAGTGTTTGCATTTGAATTATTAAAGATTCTTATATTTCTGTCTCTCAGCTTTACATTTTATCCTTTGATCAGCTACTGTAACTGAAGATATCAGTACACCTACTCTTCCTTATAACTTTTTCCTCCATATTTTTCCAGTTTTTAATAGTTAAATAATTTCTACATTGTTAGGGCATATAATATGTGCTTTCTTTTCTGTCACTCTAATCCCTGCAGTTGTTTTAGTTTTAGATCTATGGTTAA